GGGCATGACAGCAACAGCTTCTGTCGAGAAGCAGACGTCAGCGGCCCCTTGTGGGTGTATAACGAGTTGCAAAGAAATTGGGAGGCTAGGTCTTGAGAAAAAGAGTCCTCCTCCCTTGCCTTGAACTTGCAACCTATGTTAATGCTGGTGGTGGGCAGGCCAGATGATTGGTACACATCATGCATCAGCAAGGGGACATAACTACTGCTCTACAAGATTGGTCTTCCCCCTGGGCACATTAAGACAGCTCTATTAACTACAATTCCATTAAATCTTCTTCAGAAATGTGGCATTTCTGTTGAAGACATTGGTTTTTTTTACATTTTGAAACATAAGTAGCCCCTTTCTTGCTTGGAAAGAGGCCCAGAAAACTCATTTTTAAAAAAGTTTTTTTTTTTCAAAAGCCTATCCAAGTCATACCAACCAAATCGGGCATGATATCTGTTGAGATGCCTGTATGTAGTCATCATATGCTTATAGCTAGGTATGCTTCTACTAAGCATATCATCTCTACTAGATTGCTGGTTTCTTTCTCTTGCTCTCTCCTCATTGAAATCAAACCATTTTTCTCACAAATTCAACCTCACAGTGAGTTCGGTTGTCCTTTCTTTGTTTCGGTCACCTGGGATCCTCTCAACAGGTTATGAGACCCTCCAGTCTCGCTCTTATACAAATTGAATCCCTTAATGTTTTTCCTCTTGAACTCAGACTCAAGGCCTTAAATCCAATCACTTGATTCTCCTTACTGCACTCGGGTTTGCGTTGGAATCTTTTGCTTATGTTCATTGCTCGCAAGTCAGAATATAAAGATGTCAACTCATCAAGTACAAAATTTAGCCTCACTGGTATCCACTGTCACAGCCCTGGATGGAACCGCCGCAGTTTTTCCTGCTTGGAGATCTCGCATCAAGGATGTTTTAAGTATGCAAAACACACTCGGCATTGTGAACGGATCTCTTTCAAGGCCCAAGGAAGACTCCAAATCAGACAGTTTGGTCGCACGATCAACCGACTACTTGAAAGGTTACAATCCCAAGGAGGTCATTGCCGATTGGGATGCCCTCTCTGAACTGGCTTGCTCTACCATTTGTCTAACGCTCTCGTGTCCGCTGGCTTTGCGATATCAAAAAACCAGGCCAGCTTCTCGTCTCTTTACAACTATTGTTAACACTTATGAAAAGAACACAAGAGCTCAAAGAATTTGTCTTGAAGAAGCATTATGGGAATCCAAACACTACCCAAATACACCAATTGCTCTGGATTGGTCATGTCGGGGTCGCGGCGGATGAATTACTGACAATCAACAAATTGCCGACGGATCGACAGATTGCCGATCACCTTGTTGCTGGATTAGACAGCTCATGGTCCGCTGTCAAGGACTTGACAACCATCCGCATCCGCATCCGAACCCGCTGGCGGGTATCCGTCGTTCCACAGCGGGTATCCTCGGATACCCGCCCTTTAAACGGCCAGCCGGACATCCCCCCTTCTGGCCTCGGGTATCCTTTGGGATACCCGGATACCCGCCCAAATTTCTGGGAAAAGGGCACATCCGAACCCCAATCTGTATCCCCTGGCGGGTATCCGCCAGGGGATAGCGGGTATCTGCAACGGATACCCCGCGACCATCTGCAGCTCTACAAGATCTGTCTTCCACCTGGGCACATTAAGACAGCTCTATTAACTACAATTCCATTAAATCTTCTTCAGAAATGTGGCATTTCTGTTGAAGACATTGGTTTTTTTTACATTTTGAAACATAGGTAGCCCCTTTCTTGCTTGGAAAGAGGCCCAGAAAATTCATTTTTAAAAAAGTTTTTTTTTTCAAAAGCCTATCCAAGTCATGCCAACCAAATTGGGCATGACATCTGTTGAGATGCCTGTATGTAGTCATCATATGCTTCTACTAAGCATATCATCTCTACTAGATTGCTGGTTTCTTTCTCTCTCTCTCTCCTCATCAAAATCAAACCATCTTTCTCACAAAGTCAACCTCACAGTGAGTTCGGTTGTCCTTTCTTTGTTTTGGTCACCTGGGATCCTCTCAACAACATCATCCCCACCGACACTGAGCTGAAGCCCGACACACAGCCATCATCGGCTTCAGTTTGTGTTGGGCCGACCTTTGGGTCACGGCAGATGATCCTGATGTCAAGACATCAGGATCATTCACGGTCATCCAAAGGTTGGCCCTGTTGTGGTTTTGTGAATAATGATGATGATTATTAGAACAAAACCGGACACAGCAGCTCTAAGTCAGTGTCTAGTGAGTCTGAGGGTAACCCAGTTACTGGGTTACAACAGGCCCGACATCAATTTTATGACAGCCCACAACCGCCGTCAGATCCAGGGAACACAGGTCATTGCCAACAACTGCGCTGTGGGCCTGTCGCGCAGGAATGAAAATTATCGACCTGTGGTGTAGGAACCCAAAGAGTCTTGAGCTGACCAAAGACCGAATCGAAGCTGACCCACTGGCCTGGCTTCGACCGCGGGTACCTCGCCAGTTTTAGTCGCACCAGTAGCATCCGCAGCAGCGGCCCCAAAACAGACTGCGGCCACGCGCACCATCGCGGCGTATTCGTACTAACTCCAACCTGCTTGTCTCCATGATAATGAGCCTTCGCCTAGCCATAGATCTCGGAACCAGAGGAACTTGAAAGCAGGTTATGATGGGGGACTTCCCGGTGTCGGTCTAGACCCGAAAAGTCAATGTTTGTTTGGAAATCCAGCTTTACAGCGTAGTCCTTCTCACTCCCACTTCATGCTCCGCCGCGCGGCAGGATTGATGCATCTCGGGATTTATTTATGTCTTCAGGTCATTGCAAAGAAACTCCTTTGACTATCGCTGAAAATGACTGTAGCTCCTTTTAACATGCAGATGATGCAAAATATGCTTATGCATACTTCATCAGCATCCGGTCTTTGTTGCTAACATGGCGCTAAAAAGGAATTTTAACTTGCCTCTTCATCAACTGCAAATTTTTGAATAAATTTGATGTCGATGGTCATTTTTACTAGGTAGGTATTGGTATGCTGCAAACCCCAGCTTAGCAGTGTTTCTCCCCCGTATTCCCTGTGGGGCGATTTAGCTGATCCCCTGATTTCCCCGCAGAATGCTCTCTCGGCAAAGCCGGCGGCTTTGCCTAATCACGCACATCCGCAAGTTATCCTCCAGCACACCGTTCCACTATAATCATAGCCACCAAGAGAACCGATGTTTTCATATCCTGTTAACCAGGCATAACAAGGCATGTTGGAATGCATACTGCATTCCTCCTTGAACATGACCTGGACCAAAAAAACGTTATATCCACATTCACATCATGTCCTCTACTACATCCGGTAATTGTAGCAATGGAGTGAGTTACCATCGTGTAGAACCCTCTCTTGCCTTGGGTAGGCCATCTCGCTTGGTTACTCGATGACTCGATCAGAATATATGAAGTTGTTGCCACTCTTCCTTAGAAGGCTTCTTGGGGTATGGTGTCAGCTTATCGGATCAACGCGACGTGCCAAGTTATCTTCATTGATCTACTTTCCTCCCATTATTAGCATTGCCTTTGGGGATAGTGAGGAGGGTTTGTAAGACCCGGTGAGCTGAGCATCAGAAATGCTTTTCGCATGAGCCTATTCGCGACTAAAGAAGTCTTCATTTGCGGTCAGGACTTCTCTCAGCCTTGCGTGTTTCTCGTCTTCACCCGAGCCAGAAGCGGCATAGGATGAAAAATTTTCCTCATCGTAAGATAGACGATCAAAAGGGGCTCTCTCATTTCGGAGGATGTGGGAAAAAGCGACAGGTCCATGTCTCAGTTTAGTGACCGGTGTCATTGCGTTTTCCCTTAGCATGTGACGATTTGAAGATGATGAAAAGGGAGGGTTTTTCTAAAATTAAATTCTTGTTTGTTACAAAAGTCTGTCATACATCTAGGCCGAAGAAGCGTATGGAGGATTCCAATCATCCAAGTTAATCATTTCCATAATCCTGAGCTGTAACACATTCCTTTTATTACTTCCTTCGAATATCTATCGGTCTTTTCTCCTCAAGAAATATACCTTCATTAACTCCAGAGGCATCGGGACGGAATGCTATTTCCAGCCAGTTTGACAGCCGTCATTGTACTCTTCAATTTCATAAATTCACAAATCATCGTTGAGGCATCCCATACTCAAAATGCGCTTCCTGAGGTAGCCGTCTCAGTCAAACTTGATCCCATAGACATTTGTGGGGATTATCAGATTGTAGCGTACGTATCTCTCCGGTCGCATGGATGCATTGGAGCTAATCAACCTGTTGCTTTTTGTTATTATTACATATCAGTGCTCGTGGCACATATGAACCTCAAAGTGGATCACCCACCTACGCCGATTTGATCAAAATAGTGGAAACTACAATACCTCGAGGTTCTAACGTGGAGATTCAATACCCATCTAACATGGAATATGTCATAACTCCTGTTCATGGAGCTACTGCTGGTGTCACATATTTGTCTGATCAAATGGTCAAATGCCCGAAACAGAAATACGTTTTTGTTGGTTATTCCAAAGGAGTGCGTCATCATTTCTACCAAGATCAGTTATGTATGAATCGAACTCTTACTTCTCATTGTGATTGTAGGCCATGGTCATTTCCCAACTGATGGAGGAACTGCCAATATCCGCGGATAAAGTTGTGGCCGTCGTCCTATTTGGTAACCCCAACCACAAGCCAGACGCTCCCCAGAATCGCTGCTCCGGGGCAAGTCCACTTTCCGCATTATATTTTTTCCCAACAGCGGAAAATTGACCGAGAAACTGGCTTGCTTTGCTTTGGAATAGACTGGCGGTTTCGGGATCGCTGCCATGTTTGCGGAATCCATCCCATCACAATACATCTCGCTGACCTACGATTGCTGCATCAAGTGGGACTTTGTTTGCCAAACGATCGGAACTGTCGCCAATCACATGGCGTATCGCGGCTCGCAAGAGGAAAAGAACGCGGCTGCCTTCGTGATCTCTCAGCTTCGCTTGAAGCTAGGCCACAGTTTCAGAATAGGCGCATGATTCAGAACACAACATCCCAAACACGTAACCAGAAAACTCTGAAGTTTATGCTTTCACATTGCGGCGGGTTTGGTGCGCTTACGATGGACGTTCCTTAAGTCATGGTGGTTTCTACATGTCTTGCTCTCGGGAAGGCAATCGAAGACACTACTTAGTTAAATCAACTTCCCGAAGCCAAATCAAGCCTTATCCCTCCCTTTTTCTTTTATACTAATTAATTTTCCAGAAAACGTCTCTGGAGACCTTCTTCTAATTTCTTATAATACTATCTATCGTTGTAAACCACTTTGACACACTCTCTATCAACAAACTGGACTGATCACTTGTTATATTAATAGTACCTGCAGAAATTGTTGAATTTTGATGCAAGTTAGGCCTCCATCCTATATGTAGAGTTGGAAATCTATTTCGGGTGACTTGGTGATATTGATAAATCGTTATGTCTCTGCCACGACAACTCCACCCTACTCACTCATCCTTGCGAGATGAATTTGAGTAAGTGGCCAGTATCACTTGATCTAGAGCATCCGATTTGGCCTGGTGCCAGTGGCAGAGCCTAGGTTGTTTTGTCTAGAGAAATTGACAGCGGGGCAGGCAGAATACTGACCCAATATCTCTATCTCTCTAATCATGGACATATTTAATACAGCCTGAGTTGACTAACCTGGCAATATATGCCAGAGAACGACGTCAAGAATTGTCTGTAGATTTTTAATTCCATTTGTGAGGAGCTTTCATGTTTTTTTTTCTGAAGAAATGAATTCCTTCAGAGAAAAGGGGGAATGTATTTATCAACTTGATCTGATTCATTCAATTGAACAACACAGTTAGGCTAAGCATGAAAATGATAGCACAGAAAGAAGGGCAAAAATTGGTTTTGATGACAGATTAGGGACTGAGTGTGGTTTCTGGCTGAAGTTCTTTGTGGGGGGGAGGCCAGTTTAACTGATGTGCGATAAGCTAGATAGGAGTAGTAGGGCTTGATGAGGACTATCACAATCTGCATTCACAAATTTGGCCGGAGAGGCAACTAAATTTGATGTTGAATTAGACTAGCTCAGGAACAATTGAGATCCTTTTACCCATGGCCATGGATTCACCTGTACTCCGTGTGGTTGGCGGTGGATTGGATAAGGAAGTGCAGCATGGTCATCCAAACCACCCGGAGGATAGTTCCAGTTTGGAGCCGGACGATGCGAATCTATCGAACACGTGGTGCATAATCAAAGGCCTGGTAACCAGATGTTCATACTGGCAAGAATAGCGTCTAGTTCGAATTGGCATCGATCCAACAGCTGATCGTCTTGCTCTTTTTGATACTGTGTTGTGACGGATTGAGGTTGAGTAGGATTGGACGGAGTCATCAATCCATCCATTCGACTAGTCAAGTCTTCAAGCTCGTTCGCTCGTGATGATTGGTTGGGGTCCTGGACGATTCCATACTGGTTGAGGTCTCTAATCAATTTCCGTACTCGGTCGACTCGAGCATCTTCTTCCATCTGCTTCAACAGTAGATTCAACGTCGCCGATGCTCTTCCTCGAAGTGAACCCAACCTTTTGCCTCGTTGAGCTCCAGCCGCAAAACCATGATTGAATCCTTCCTGGATCGAAAGTTCTTTCCCCTTGTGGATACCTTCTCGGTAGCCTGTCTAGGAAATTTGAACGAAGAGATAAGATAGATCAGTCTCAAGTTCAAGTGTTGAAATTGGAAGTCTGTAGAGTAAAGAGAGACAGGAGGACTAAACCGTGTGGAATTGTTCGGCTAATCGGGTGTATTCGACTTCCGATATTTGTTGATGGCCTTGATGTTGAGGAACTTGAAGAGATTCTTCGAGCCAATCTTCTGAAGAGACAGACTCCATTTGGGTTTGAAGGTGTGCTTGGCAACTTCTTGGCTCGGCCAGTGAAGCAGTCAAGCTTGCACCAGACCGGGCTTCGGGGGGCGGGGGGGCGGGGGCTGATGTTACACGAACATGTCAGCTACCTGTCCCGCGAGCAGGAATATCAAATCACATTCAATAACAAAAAAATTGACACAGCAAAAGGGCTTGACCATTTCCCACCAACCCAAAAACAAATATCAACAACCTGGCAGAGTACAATCAAGCAAACGTCCAGTCAAGCTTCGAACACCGCTCGAGCTAGTGACCACAACTGCGCCGATCGGGTGACCTGGAGTGAACACTCGTCATCTGATCATTAGGAATTAGGATGGGCGCCAATGAATCTCGACCGGGTGGTGGTGGCCCAAGGCCGGCTGGCGAGAATTCGACGAACGGAAATAGTACAAGCGAAGGGTCAACGGAGGATCTTTACCAAAGTTTGGTGCTCATTATTAAATCAGGTCATCCGATTCCGAATCAACAACATCCTAACTAGCAAATAAAAATACATTCCCTCTCGATCCACACAGTCTTGCAAGTTAGTTCAGACGCCTCGGCTGAAGAGATCAAGAAGGCCTTCAGGAAACAAGCCCTGCTTCATCATCCAGACAAGAATTATGATAACGTAGAAAATGCAACCAAGATGTTTGCCAAAATCCAACAAGCCTATGAGGTATGCTGCCCATTCATCGATCAACATCGCTTACTATTCTTAAAAATATCCCTCACCATTTCTCTGCGTACTGACAAAATTTACTGACAAAAGTACTGGAAGCGGGTTTCCTTGTGTTTCTCGTCCGTGTTAGATCTTGAGCGATGAAGACGAACGTGCATTTTATGATCGGCATCGTGATGAACTGCTCAATGCGAGGCGACGATGGTATGTGATCGAGAAAGCTGCATGAAAAAAACCTGAGGATTAATTTTTCATGATGTCGCTTTGCGTAGGTTTGGACGACTTTGACCCCACCCATCTTAAGCCGAACGCTTCTCGCTCCTCGCTCAATCCGGGTATCACTACCAAACAACTCCTCAAGTTTTCCGATGCAACCCTCTGGAAGGGTGACTTTTCGGACTCAGCTACCTCGTTTTTCACCATCTACAGGAATCTTTTCAACCAACTATCGATAGAGGAAAAGATTGCAAGAAAAGACACGATGATCGTCTATCCTTCCTTCGGTAACAGCGCTTCGAGCTACGACCAAGATATAGATGGAACACGGGCCTTGAAACATTTCTATTCCGGCTGGAGTAATTTTGCCACCCAGAAGAGCTTCGAATGGGTTGAGCCTCATCGGACTAATCAACAAGTTGACCGTCGGATCAAGCGGATGATCGAAAAGGAGAATCAACGTGAACGAGAGAACGCCCGACGAGAATATAACGAAACAATCCGGAGCCTGGTTAGTTTTGTCAAGAAGCGTGACCCGCGCTTTGCCGCCAGTGCAGCTAGCAATCCGGAAAAATGGCGAGCCCAGGAGATCCAACGGATCAAGCGTGAGCTGCGTGAGGTTGCTGAACGGAGAGCCAAGGAGAGAGAGGATGAGGCCCGTCAGTTTCGTGAACAAGCCTGGCAACGCCAGAAGGGCGAGAAAACTGAAACCTCCGATGTCGAGGTTGACCAGGTAGAGTCGACAACAGAAGAGCAACTAGAAGACGACGAGGAGTCCGAAGCCGCCGTCAATGATTGGTACTGTGCTGCTTGCAGTAAAGAATTCAAGAGTCAGGGGGCATGGGATAATCATGAGCGTAGTAAGAAGCATCGACAGAACGCACAGAGGTCAATGATCTGCCTTATATATCTTCTTCTTCATTGTTCTTACTCAGTGATATCTGACTCTGCAAATTGTTAGCAGGCTACGGAAGCAAATGCTTAAAGAAGATGCTGAGCTCTCCTTATCAACAGCCGCCTCCTCCACTCTCCCGTCAAACAGCGTGACGCGATCACAGACACCGGATGCTCAGCAAGAGCTCGAAGGAGTATCCAAGGAGGAAGAGACTCGGAATGCTCATCAAGAACCTGAAGGAGTGTCCAATCTACAAGAGACTCCGGGTGCGCATCAAGAGTCCGAAGGAGTGTCCAACCAGGAGGAGACCCCGGAAGCTCATGAAAAACTTGGGGGAGCGCCTAATCAGGAAGAGACTTCGGGTGCAAATCGAGAACTCGAAGGAGTTTCCAATCAGGAAGAGATTCTGGATGCTCATCGAGAGCCCGAAGGAGTGTCCAACCAGGAAGAGACCGCGGATGCTCGTCAAGAACTTGAAGGAGTTTCTAATAAGAAAGAGAGTCCGGATGCCCATGAAGAACCCGAAAGGGTGGCCATTGAGGAAGAACCATCGACGACTGGGATTCAAGATAATCTGGAACACATCAGCCTTGATCAGCTAAAAACATCGACCGAATGAAACTGTCTTGAGTAGCTAGTGCAAGAAAGTCTACTCGTCGGCTGACGACTTGCTGAGATGGAAGGGAAGACCAACCGATTTCAATCGAAACCTAGCAGAAAACCCGGATGAAAGCTGTCTTGAGCTTGTTCTCTCTTTCATGTTCGTTATGTGTGCTCAATACCTGTATTACACCTTTCACTAGATGACGTGACACTTTTCGATTGTACTGTACCTTTTGCATGGGCTGTGGCAGAAAGCTCTTCTCATCAAACCCAACCCATCTCTGAGCCTTGTGTTTTCTGCCACCAGTCCCTCCTCATTATATTGTCTGCTTACATGTCAATTACAAATCTGGAACTAAGTTTTTGTCAATTTTGTTTTAAATGTACAGACCCAATATCAGATTTGTACAAACATAGAAGTATATTGTGTTGCATTCCAATGGAGACTACCTTTTTTGACTTATCCTGACAGATGGAGTGTGGTATGAAGAACTTGAGAAGGGCAGGAGGCTTTGAGCTGTGGATGAATTTCATCTCTATGATTTTTTTTCACTCTGTGGGTCCCCATTACGATCTCTCTCTTGCAGCTCATGTGATGGCCAAAACCAGTCCTGTTGCTGTAGTCAGCTTTGCTTGAGCAAGCCCCCCATGATGTTGTGAATTATGTAGAGGAGAAGCAGCTCTGTTGTGAGCCTCAAGTGACCAGGAGGTGGTGCAATTGAAGGATCAAGTTATGTAATCAGCTGGGTTTGAGTCAGTTGTTGTGGAGTGTGTCTGCACTGTGGACACTCCAATTCGAGCGTCTTCGACTGTTGACTCCAACTCGGCGGGTCGGCCATCATACGACCAACCATCGATCGACGACGAACGAACCCTCAAGTCAACACTTCACTTCAAACCAGTCACACCACACAAGAGGAAAGGCTCAGAGACCACGAACGGAGTCAAGAAAAGCTATAGGAACCGCATGAAACACTAGAATCACTCACACTAAATCATCAACCATGTCTCTCGAGGTCTGTCCAGTATATGGTGAGCATGGTAGATCCAAATGACTCGACTCAGGTTGATTGATCTATACTTTGGTTTCGGAATCTCTCTCAAGCTCCGTTCTTTGGATTCGCTGGAGTAGCTTCATCCGTAAGCCCATTTGCTCTTTCTAACCTAACCAGGATATTAAACTCTGAAAACCTCTAGAACTTTACTTACAAAGCCTTTTTTCTTCTTTTTGAATGACAACGGGAAAATGAACACTTCATCACATGAATACAGATGATTTTCTCCAGTGCGCTCCCACATATATGATTGATTGATTGATTTTGGTGCAGTGAGAAGCCTCGCTAACTCAGTTTGTCTACCTAGCTATCGGTGCAGCATATGGAACGGCTAAAGCGGGGATCGGAATAACTGGGTTAGGGATTATGAAGCCAGACGCCGTAATGAAAGTGAGCTTGATCTTGGACCTAGCTTCGAACCGGATCGCGTAGCGACATACTGAATTATCACCAACTATCGACTCTTCTTCAAGTCACTTATTCCTGTAGTCATGGCCGGGATCATTGCGGTGTAAGTCATGCTTTGGTCTTTATACAGTTGATCACAACATGCCTCTGTCTCCTTTCGAGGCCCTCGTTCTCTGACCCTGATCACTGTTAAGCGCGTTTTAAGCTATGGATTGGTCGTTTCAGTTCTCATCATAGGCGGTATGGATCCTCGAAAACCGTATTCACTCTTTGCGTTTGAGTTCATTTTCTCTTGCATACCCTCATCTTCTTGCTCACAAAATAGGATCTTTCAGCTAACCGCTCAGGACTTTTTTCTTGTGTGTCTTTCACAGCGGCTTCATTCATCTAGCTGCTGGCTTATCATGTGGGATGACTGGACTGGCTGCCGGGCACGCTATTGGCCTTATTGGTGATGCGGCAAGCGTCTCCTGGATTCTCATATACCCTTCGAGCCAACACGCTAATGGCCAGTCTTGAAACTTTGTAGTGTGCACGTGCATTTCTTTTTCAGTCACGGATGTTCGTCTCCATGGTCCTCATGCTAATTTTTGCTGGTAAGCTTCTCCTTTCTTGGAACTTATAATCAGATAATGAACTTTATACCAAATATCTCATAATTGATCCACTGCAATCCTTTGTTTCACTTCACCACAGAGGTCATTGGGCTATATGGATTAATTATTGCACTGATCCTAAATACCAAAGCGTTCCAGGGCAATTCAATGTGTACATAAAATCAAGCCACCTTCCAGATTCTTTTATTTTATTCTCTTTTCCTCTTCTTCTCATCGACTTGTTACTCAATTCACTTTTCTTTCTTATGGTTTCTTTGTGTTGTTTCTTCTTTTGATTTTTTTTGTTCTTCAACAAGTAATCTACTCTTACTGCATACACTCATCGTCCAAAAAAGGTGTTGGGTTTCAAACTTAACATTGCCTGGACATAAATGCACATCTGAATTTCAGCTTTCTTGAGCAAGTTTCCCCTGTGGGCTTCCTTCGAGAGGAACGGGCAATGCTGCCAGATACAATACACTGTGTGTATCATGGAGAATTCTGCAAAGCTGCATGGCCAAAAACCAAATTTGTTGAATCTCCTTGCAAATAAAAGCAGATTGGTCAGATAGTTTTTTTTTTATTGGGGCTCAGATACATAGTGATACATGGCAGATATGGGCAGATACCGTATCTGTGGCAGCGTTGGAACGGGTTCAATAACCAGACCCAAGAGGGCTTTTTTTAATTGCATGAGAGATGATACGGGTGGCATTCATGGGATCACCATGGGAGGAATCATACCAGACCCTTTAGTGGGGAAACCCCGGTAAAAATCAAGACCACTCAGGCAGGCGTATCAATGAAGACTCCTACAAAGCCGAGCCTTGATGATTTACACCTACATACATTTTTCAATTCCATTTTTGCCTTTTAAACACTTTATGAAAGCGAAATGAGAATTCACATGAGCAATATATTTCGAAACCTAAAAATTCTAATTCAGGTTTCTTTTTTTCATTGTTGAGATCTCATCCATATCCCTGATTTCTTATTAATTAAAAAAATGTCAATTTGACATCATAAGCTTTCTGACTCTGGAAAAGGGGCTTTTTGGCCCAAATGACAGATTTGTTTCCCTGGATGACATTGGGCATCTGCGTGCAGACAAACACAAGATACCTTTGGCAAGTTAATGTGTATATAACTGACAAAAAAAATCAATTCAGATGACCTTATATTGTTACATTGACTTTTTCAATATCTTGATATTGTCTATAGTATAAGTTATGATGAAGTTAGTCACACACCCTCTATTTTTAAGTTCTACCTTGTTTATTTTCATCTCCGCAAGAGGTTCAAGGTTCAGACAATGTTTCATTCAAATGCAGGCTGGCAGCCAGGATTGGCCCAGAGGCCCCTGATGAAACAGTCGTACTTCAATCAGATGTGATATCAATTGAAATTTGGAAGAGTAAATGAGAGACTTTGATTTATGATAAGGGGATTCCAAAGAAATAAAAATTAAACATTTCTAACATTAGATAATAGACTGTTATTGACGTCGATCGATCGAGTGCGTTCCTCGAAGGGTTTCCGTTGCAGATTTGAAAGGGTGAATGCGAAATTCTACCCATCTCCAAAAATAAAAAGTTGCTCTGTTTTATTTTGTATCATGACTTCTTACTCATCAAGTAAGATTACACCGAAGAGACTAAAGAATAGAAAATCCAAGAAGATCCGATAAAGTTTTACGATAAAACAGCTTTGTTCGCAGCATTTGTTCTCAAGAGATCCGGCCCAAAGCATTAACGTGCTTGCTGACATCACCGCTGCGAGGAGGACTGTCCAGCATTGCAAGTATAACGCCTTTGTTCCATGGATGAGCACCATGGGTAACTCCCTCGGCCTCAAGCAAAGCCTCTATCGCTGCCTTCAACCGGGGAATGTTGTTTCGAGAATGTTTACCCTGCCCAACTATAAATTGAACCTGAACCAGGCCTTGTTGCTTCGCATTGAGGAGGGATTTCTTGGCATAATATTCGGCTTCCCTTACGTAGAGACCGTGTAAGTCGAACAGTCCTGGAGGCTTTCCTTGATTCCTTCCTGCAGAAAAAAAAAATATTATTGAGTACGATGCCTCTTTGGGCGTCCAATTCATGAAAGCGCGTCTGAACGCATGAAAATTGACAAGCAAGGAGGAGCAATTGACCTTCGAAGATTAATTTAGCTGCCTGCTTGTCGAGTTTATCTCGAAGCTTTAGTTGTGTCTTAATTTCATTTTTTAGTTGCTTGGCTACATTGGCATCAGAGACACTGATAGCCTCTCGCGTCTTTCGTTCCACTTCTCTCGCATGTTTCAGGGCCTCGTCGCGCAGACCTTTGGCCAAGTTCATGTTCTTCGTGTGTGTTAATAATTTCCCCAAAGCAACAAACAAGATGATACGAACAAATAAATAATATCAGTTCTGGCTCTGACCTCAGGTTGAGGAATGATGGGAAGTGAATCGGATCGGACTGTCTATCTGGAGAAGTTCGTAATTCAAGAGATACATAGGTCAAGTTCGGAATCGAATCATCACCTGAGTTTGGACGTCTGATTGGACATGGTCCCAAGTCCGAAGCTCGGTTGGCAGAGGCCGGCTTTCGGGCTCGGTGGCCAACCCTTGGGGGACGTTCTTCCTCAAACTAGTCACAAAAACAAAAATTAGCAACCCATACGATCCAAAAAGATGAAAGATGATTATCTGGAATGCGATCATTTTGTAAAATCCGTTGAGACTTAGGAAAACTAGGACAGGGCAACTGTCGGGTTAGCAATCAAGATTTGGCATCTGATCACAGCTTGGATTATAAAGAAAGTCATCAGAGCCCCGAGGGTATCACGAAAACCGACAGGGAAGAAGGGGTGCAAAAATCCATTTTTGTTTATCAATTCAACACATAGAACATAGATGTTATTGAAAACGATTATGGAGAGTCAAAACACAGGCAAGACGAAATGGTGAAGATTTGCACTTGAAACCTGGGTACTCGGCTTCTCGGGCGCATCGAGGAACGGGTACCAGAAATCAACGATTCCTGCGGCAGGCACGGCGTCGGGATTCTCTTTGCCTAGGATCTGTTCGAAAATATGTGGCTTCATGCCGTCCGAACCTTCGGATCCCTACGTGTCGGAGGGACTGTGTGTCGGTCCGAGACCGAAAGTCAAGGCGTCATACTGCCCCTGGGGTCACTCGGACTAAAGTCCGAGGTTTAGGACTAGAAGGAGGACTAGCCTCTTCTTGTGCCGACACACAAATTGGCTGAGCGGCGGCGGCATGGGACCCGGGCTCTGTGGGTTGCTCCCCGGTGCTAAAGGGCCTAATTACCCGCCGATATCCCGTTCGTGACTCGGGCCGTACCCATCATTCCCAGCAAGCCACCGCAACTGGATCAAGCATTCCGAGGGCCTGTTTCCGTTGGGATGAAGCCAGCAATACATTGATGCAAAGAAGCATGGTTCCACCGCTAATTCATTGAAGATTGGTTGAAAGAGAATTAATGAAAGAGCAAATGCCTAAAGAAACTAGGCTTACTACTGTGGAGACACATCTGGTTTCACTTTGCGCCCAAGAAATTCCGTTTGTGCATCCGGTAGAGCTTGTGGTCTGGTCAAGATGAAGAAGAATTTGTAAGCCTTCACTCTACTTGTTGCCATTAGGCGTCACTAATTACAAACCATTTAAAATGCTAACACTGAAGATCGAAAAGCAATTACAGCAAGTGCAAAAGCTGAAAGAACCTAGACCTACTTTTTCTTATACCTGACCAGCTTTGCTTGGCTCACCGGAGCACTCTTTGGCGCGTCTGACAAAGGTGTGTAAGCTGGCGGGCTGATCAAGATGAAGGTTAATATGTAAGCAGTCATTCCTGTTGCCAGTGTTATGTGTCACCATCCTAAGTGCCAACTGGTTGATGTCCTACCACTGAAGACTGGAAAGAAATCAAATCAAGGACAAAATCTCAGAGAGCATATGCTTACACCTTTCCAGACTCTACTGGCTTCACTTTGCGCGTAGGAAACCCCGGTGGCCCAGCTGAGAAAGAGCTGGGGGCTGGCGGGCTGATCAAGATGAAAACAAAAAAAAAAAAAAAAAAAAATCTTAAGCAATCATTTGTTTTGTTCTATATGGCTCTCAGGAGCAGCGGATTTCAGAAGTTGCACTGAACATTGAAAAAAAATTATGTCAAATGTAAAAGCGGACTGGACTAAACTTACTTTCTTGGAGACTCGGTCGGTTTCAGTATGCCCACTGGCTGATAAACGCTTCGCTGGCCAGAATAAGAGTTTTGAGCTGGTAGACTGATGTCAATGAAGAAAAATTTGCAAGGAGTCATTTTTGTTGTCACTGCTATGTACTGTCACTCAATAAAAACGGTTCCTAGCACTACTGCTGAAGACTGCAAGGAGGTTCAGAACGTTCAAAATCTGGGAGAGAATAAACTTACTGTTTTGGGGGACGGACTAGTTCCACTTCGTCTCCAGGTCGAATAACATTTTGCGCGCCTGATGAAGACTTTACATCCACCAGGCTTATCAAGATGAAGAAGAACTTTCAGTCAGTCATTTTTGTCGTTACTTCTATGTTTCAAGTACGAAAAAAAACAGTGGGATAGCACTGAAGATTGGAAAGTGATTGCGACCAGAGCAAAGGGAAATGGAAATACTGAAACTTGAAAGATTAAGAAACTAGGCTCACTTCTTTTGAGACTCAACGACTGGTCTCGTGTCTCTCAGTATCACAGGTAAGCCACCTAGCACGCATGATAAAGAGACGAGAGCTAGCAGGTTAATCACGATGAAGAAGAAATTAAAAGCAGTCATTTTTGTTTTGACTAATACTGCTATGTGTCACTAAATACGATAATGTTAAAAATAGATATGGCGATTCGAGGTATGTGGAAGACACATCCGATTGCTTGTCAAGCTTTCCAGGCTATGAGTGACCTTATATGCGCCCAAGGACGTTAAATCCCAGGCAGAGTTACACACTTTTAGAAGTGAGTCGTTACGGGCCTCGGAGTCCGAACCAAGACTCCTCCCTAGAACATGGGGAGGGGAAGCAAGGTCGGTGTTCGTTTGAACCGGTTTGCATGGCTCATGGAAACGGCACTGTCGGAGTCGACTTGACAGCAGTGCAGTGAAAGTTAAACCTCGGCGACTCCATGAGGTCGACTGGATTTTTCATTGCCGACCCCTTTGAGCGGATGGCGTCTGGTTCCAACGGCCGAATAAAACTGATATGAGGTCATTAATCCAACCAACTCTTCGACCAACATTAGGAAGCGCTATTGGAGAGGCCGTGAGATCCGAAACACAAAATTTGTGCTCCAATCCATCAAGAATCTCGAAAAATTTGAAAAAGGTGAAGTATTACCATCAGATGAGTCAATCTGAACCAACTTGTTACTTGTAGACAAATGTCAAAAATGAGACCGTCAGATCTTTTTCCACAATCACGAGTACACACATTTTGGTATGAATTTTGTGACTAGAGATATTACAATCACATAAACCAAGCCAAAAGAAGAAATTTCCTAATGATCTGTATTTGCGCCACCAGAGAGTTCTGCTCTGGGAGACCCATGCAGATGCTTCAGCCTGCTGCTACTTTTAGGCAGCATGATGCATCTTTTAGTTTTTTGATAAAGCCCTTCTAAAATATCTATATATGCACGTGAAAAAGGGAAATGTTTTTCCTCAATTTCATAGAAGACCACATATCATCCTGTCACCACTACCACAAAAAAATCATGCGTAGAACTGAAAAACAGCAAATTGCAAAAAAACAACATTGGGGTCCAACAAACAAAATATTATGAGCCTTATGGAACCAATGAAAACAAAGAAAGATTGAAGCTGAGTGCAGCAATAAGAAAAAGAAATGAATTGAATTGAATTGCCAAATCTCAATCAAGCTTCAACAAATTAGGATGTGGCATTGAGCAATTGCAGCATCAAGGTTAGATGGGAGATTTAGAGATTGAAGGGAGTGAGGAGTAAGCAGTAAGGAAGAAGTATAATTCAAATTTTGGAATAGAAACAGGGGTCTTAAATGTGGCAAACAAGAACCAGCCATGGGTCTATACTATACTTTACTATAATTGGCCCTTTTCAGTACAGTAAAGTTTCCTCAAATTTCTGTTTACTATACAAATACTATAACCAGTGTGTTTCCCACCAAGCTTGGTATAGTATAGGCCACGTTTTTTTGGCTCCAAAATTGCAATATATTGTAAGGGCCTTAGCTTTATCAACCATGAAGTGAACTCCAGAGAGCCCTTCTGTGGTCAAGAGACTCTCATAAGTAGCCGTAGATGTTTTTATCAGCATCCAGGGTAGCTTATAGTACAGTAAATCACCCAAAACAATTTCCTGTTCTCCTCAGTTATAGTAAAGGGCCCTGAAAATCAGACTATAACCACACCCTCTATAGTAAATTTGGAAATATATATAGGGTCTTAGTCAACCGACTCGAAAATTGGAGTTCCGACTCCCAAATTTTTGGGACATCATGAGGTTGGCCCATTGACGGGGGCCAGGACGTCCTGACCCCCTAATTTTTTTTCCCCGGTTTTTTGGGAGTCGGACCTCCAAGAGGTTCGACTTGCTTAAAATTCGGACCTGTGAAAAAAATAATAAAAAATAAGAAAAAATTGATTCCCCCCCGGGGGGTTTTGGGAGTGGATACATACTCTAAAAACCCCATGGGGGGTTGTGAGTTGGCTGCAAAAAAAGAAAGAAAAAAAACCTCCCAACGGCCGGGATGATTCCTCTCGGCTGTCAAGAGTATACCCTCTTGGCGGCCGGGAGGATTCCTCTCGGCTGTGGAGAGGGTACACGCTCCACAACAGAGAGGGCTTCTCTTGGCCATTGAGAGTGTACACTCTCAACAGCCGGGAGGATTCCTCTTGGCTGTTGAGATTGTACACTCTTGATGGCCGAGAGGAATCCTCCAGAGTGTATACTCTCCAGAGGCCAAGAGGAATGGTACACTCGGGGTCCTCGCAACGTCCCAAAAAATTGGGATGTCGGAACTCCAATTGTTGGGAGTTGGTTGACAAAGACCCAAAATATAAAACCTTTAGTTTTCCAATTCTAACACCAGCCTTTGAGAGTTGTACCCTCTTCAGTGACCAAGAGGGATTCCTCTTTGTTGGAATAGTGTATTAGCATTTCTCTAGTGCGGTATTATTCTAATCTATATACCCACAACTTAGCCTATAATGTGCATGTATATAGCCTAGTTGTTGCCTCTGGTTCTCTTTCCTCACTGAATGTTCATTAGACTTTGACACCTTGTCATTTCTCTTAGCTCTTGTGTCACCCTAGTTACTCTCAACACTCTTGGCCGCTGAGATTGCATGCTCTCAACAGGCGTCAAGAGTTGTACAACTCTTGCTGGCTTAGAGGAGTACCTCTTGGCTGGTGAGAGCTCTCCGGTGCCAACTCTCAACCCCCTGGGGTTTTTAAAGGATCCACAAAACCCCTGGGGGTTTTTTATTTTTAATTTTATTGGTGATCAACTCCCCAACCTGTCAAAGGTTTTGGAGGTCCAACTCCCAATTTGGACATTGGACATCCTGAAGACCCTCCGCAGCTGGTCCTCTTGATGTCCCAGAAATTTGGGAGTTAGAACTCCAATTTCTGGGAGTTAATCACACAGGGCCCTTCAGATATTGATATATGATAATATTTTGGGCCACCAAACAGAGCCTGAGTTATATAATTATGATCCACCATATTCAAATGGAATTTCCAAACCAATCAATAATTTTATTTTGCAAGAGGCTCTATATAGCAATCTGGGCTAAACAATATCATCCAATTACACTCAACCCCTGTTTGGATGTCACTGTTATGCATTATAAATTATGAGTTTTAGTAAAGGATTGTGTTATATCAACATATGTCATTTTATATACCTCATGTAATTTGGCTCTGAGCTTTAAAACATATAATGTACAATGAGGCATCCAAACAGGGCCTAATGACAGTCTGAAATTTTGCTTTACAAGTCACAGGGCACCATTGTATGTATATTGCTCAAAATATGATGGTGAGGTGAAATTTTTAAATTCAAGATTAAAAATTGCATGTAAACCTATCCTTGCCAGTGAATTTTCTCAAGTTTGGTACAAAGTGTACCATGTGAAATCAAACTGCACTTAAAATCCACATCATGCCATCATCCCTGGGTTGCCGCATTAAGTCTTCATTGAAAGACCTGTTTAGATTGACTGGTCCATGCAGTTGTGCCAACATCAAGTGGATTTAAGATGAGGGCTCGATGTTTGGTATGGAGAGGGAAATGGGAATGGGGAGCCAGGTTCATGGAGCTGAGGTTGTATGTTCTACTGCTGCGGAGAATGCGTTGAACCACAACCGAGGGTCAGCCTCGACAAATTGAATAATTTATGCATCAAACTTAATTTGCCCAGGCTGGAACCACACTGCTGATTTCCAGCGAACACTCCATCATCAATTGCAAGCTTCTTCTTCCCAGTGGAATATCCCGGTGAGTTACGATACATATTTATCCTGATCCACCTGCTTCACATGGCTTTGTACTGATTGCTTCCTCGCATATTTTCGATTGACATCTGCCCAGAAGCTAAGTTTGGAATTCTCGATCATGAAACGGCCTGCCCTTCAATCACATCCATCGGGGCCATCGACGCAGTCGGGTTCGAAATCTAAGAAACCTCGGAATGTTCCCAAGCCAGTCCAATCACAAGCTACTCAATCTCATCCAAAGCCGGATTCTATTACCATCGTGATTGGCACCTACGAGCACATTCTTTATGGTCTCAATCTGACGTTCCCTCCTTCCCCCGCCACTCCGACCTTCACCACCTTGTTCCATTTCGTCGCCCATCGCAGTCCGCTCAATGTCCTCGCCGTACCATCGTATCCTGCCACACCAATCTTAGCCAGTAGCGCCGCAGACTCACCGCTAACCCTATGGTCTCTATCGAAACGACGATGTCTCGGGACGCTATCGTGCGGGATCCTTGCCACCGACGCTGGTGGGGCTGGTCGTGAACCTGGTGTCAAGGTAGCCCGCTTCGATCGTTCCGGCAAGATTCTAGTTGTGGGCGATGAAACAGGTGGCATGACAGTCTATCGCACAAGTGATTGGGCGTTGGTCCGAAAATTCTCTGGAGGTGGAAAGGGTCGAGTCAACGATCTGGCAATCGAGCCCCAAAAAGGCCGGATTATGCTCAGCGTTGGTCAAGATCGTTGCCTAAGAATGTGGGATCTCAGTGGGGGGAAAGATAAAGGGAAACCGATGGCAAGTGTCCGACTGGGCACGGAATCTGAGCGTCTTGGTTGGAGTCCAAGTGGAAAGAAAATGGTAGTGGTAACTGGGACAATCGTCACAGTGTATGACACAGTTGAGTTTCTTGTCAAGTGGAGTATCAATAAAAGTCTTCAATCGCTGAGACGTCATCTATATGTCTTCCTCATGCTAGATGATGTCGCCATTATTCACATTCACATCTCCCCGAGGTCGAGTCCATGATGCCAAGTTTTTTATTGATCAACGATCTGAAGAATACTTAATTTTGGGTTGTGATGATTCGGTTGGTCGGATCTTTCATCTGGGCCATTCAACTGTCAACAGCGATACCGAACCACAATGCGTGGCCGAATTGATTGGCCACTCGAATCGGTCAGTCCTGATTTTGTTTTGCTCTGCGTGACCCTCTTCTCTTCTCTTCTTGCTAACCTTCTTTTCGGTTTTTTGTTTCTTGAACTTGGTTATCGTCACTCAGAGTCAAATCCATCGAGCTCGTCACTCTACCGAACGAAGGAGATTCCACCTATGCTGTAACGATATCCAGCGATGGATTCTGTCATGTTTACCAATTGCTGTCGGAGCAATGGTCCGATCCAGAAAATCCATATGAACTCGAGCCGGTCGCAAAATACGACACGGGAGGGTGTCGACTGACTTGCCTTTCAGCAGTTGCCGTTGCCAGTGGTCACGATTCTCAAGACGAAAAGAATACTCCAGAAGAACAGGATGCGCAAGAAGACCAGAGTGCTCAAGAATCAGGTGATGATGAAGAGGATGAGTGGTCGGGGATCGACTTGCAGGCGAACGGCGAAGAGTTATCATTGGATAACTCCGACAGTTGTCCATCAAGCGATTCAGAACCAAATTAGCCCGAACAGTAGTCTCAATCACTCATAGCCATTGTCTTTTTGTTTATTCATACCATCCTGTTCTGTTTGGATCTTAATTCGGAATTTAATTTGGATACCACATGTTGATTTTCGCCTACACAAGCCACAGAGAACTCCTTTGCACCCTTGGCACTTTTTTCGTGCAATATGCAATGTGATCTTGAGCATCCTATCTTGAGTCTTGCGTAGAGAAGATGGCAAAATATGAGTGAGCGGCGACTACTGCAAGCCAAAAGGCAAGTGCCGTGAAGCACATCCTCAAAAACCTTAGTGGGTCAACGGCGTGATGTCCCTGCGAAGGGATTCATTAAACATGTGGTCGTCCATCCACTCTTTGTTAGGTAAAATGCATCTGGTGGACGTTGGACTCTGATGAATGATCAGGACTCAGGAGAGCAGCAAACCTCACAATTCATGCTGTTGCTTGGAAATCATCACACTGAAATGCAGGTGACATGTAGGCCAACAGGAGGTGAGACAAATCATGTGTTACAATATATTTTTAGGGGCTCTGATGAAGTGGAGAGAATGAGGACGACACTAGTGAAGGATGGGAACAAGCAGAAAAAGTGAAGTTACAGAATTGTAGTACTCCATTCCTAGGCGTGAAGAGCGTTGTCATCAAACAAGCCAGGCGGGTGGGGTTAGCCAGTAGTACGAATCGCTTTAGGAGGTTTCCAAGAAGGAAACCCACTTCTGCACCGATAGCGCCCATATATCCATTGGAAACGGATAGCGAGCGACTCGATCGGGTTCCATCTGGAGAAGTGTTGTTTGACAAGGGAAAAGGAAAAGGCCCGCCTCCGGCCGCCCCACAGGACTGTTTATATATGGGGGACCGAAAGACGCAACCTGTGGGTGCGGCAGGGGGTAGGGTTTGATTGCATATTCAAAATGACGAGTTCCGGCTCTCAACTGGATTAGACTGCATGTGCGATTGCCTGGCAAAGACACATTTCATGATTGGAGCACACCTCTTGGAGACTTCTCCCGGCTTTAGACATGTATGTATGTGCATCATCAATCCTTGTAGTGAGCTAGGCGTAGGAAGTGCCAAATTCCTTGGCTTTTCCAGCATGTTACTTTAATTTTTACTGCCCAATATGGAGGTAGCAGCAAGTTGGCTTGGGAGCTTTTTGAGCATCAAATCTTGAAACATACCACAATATTTGTTTGGGAGATGGTTGGCTCTGAGAAAGCTACAGAATGGTGTTCAATCAAGAAAATTGATATGTTTTCTAGGGCCTTAATAAAAAAACGCGGTTTTTCCGCGTTTTGACACGGTTTTGATGCGCCGCAGCACACGCGGTTTCCGCTTTTAGACGCGGTTTCGTAATTAATTTTTTATGGGTTATTTTTTGACTTTTTTTGAATTTTTAAAGTTGTTTCCTACACTATAGAAGGCGTAGAATTTAATGGTAAAAACCATTTTTCATAAAAATGAATTTTGATTATTAATTATTTTTTTTCACTCATTTCTCAATTAATTGTTTGCATACATGTATGTACCTTATTTTTTATGCTTTTGTGAAATTTTAAAATTATTTCCTAGGTTTCAATGTGTGTAGAATTTAATGGTGCAATCCAATTTTTTCAAAACTCAAGGGTTCATTTTTAATACTGAAATTAGACCCATTTTTTCACTTAATTTTTTACAGCTTAATTCTCATCATTTTTTGACATTTTAAATTTATTTCCCACACTTTAAGACATGTAGAAAATGATGGTAACAACCATTTTTCCCCAAAATGAAAACTATACCTTGAATGCCGCATTTGACACGTTTTTTTTAATTAATTCATCACTTTTTCACTTAATTGTTTGCATACATGTGTGTACCTTATTTTCTATGCTTTTTTGAAATTTTAAAGTTGTTTCCTACATTTAAAATTGTGTAAAATTTAATGGTAACATTCAATTCCCATAAAACTCAACGGTTCATTCTGGATACTGTAATTAGTCATATTTTTCAATTGATTTTTAAGAGCTTAATTTTCATTATTTTTTGACATTTTAAATTTGTTTCCTACACTTTCAAACATTTATAAAATTATGGCAACAATGAATTTTCATCAAAATGAAAACTATATCTTGAATAATGCCTTTGACGTGTTTCCTGAATTAATTCTTACACGCTCAATTATCCTTATTTTTTGGAATTTCAAGCTCATTTCCTACACTTTTAAAGGTTTCAGAATTGATGGCTGTATCCATTTTGCATTCAAATAAAATTTGTATATGGTACAAATTATGCAAGAAACAGGGTACGCTCATCTATTAAGATTGAAGCTTGTATTTTGAGTGAAATTGGACTTCACCATTCAATTCTAAACATTTGTAAATGTAGGAAATAAATTTAAAATAAAAAAAAATGCTTAAAATCAGGCCGGTAAAAATCAATCAAAAAAACATTAAAAAAAGCCTGTCCACTGCAGTATTCAGTAACAAGCGCTGATTTTTATGTAAAATGGTTGTTACCATCATTTTTATCATGTATTAAAGTGTGGGAAATAAACTTAAAATGTCAAAAAATAGTGAGAAATAACATGTAAAGAATTAATTGAAAAAAGTGTCTAGTTTCAGTATTAAAAATGAACTGTTGAGTTTTAAGAAAATTGGATGTTACCATTAAATTCTACACACTTTTAAATGTATGAAAAAACTTTAAAATTTCAAAAAAGCATAGAAAATAAGGTACACACATGTATGCAAACAATTAAGTGAAAAAGTGAAGAATTAGTTGAAAAAATGGTGTCAAATGCAGTATTCAAGATGTAGTTTTCATTTTAATGCAAAATGAATTTTACCATAATTTTTTACATGTCTTAGAGTGTAGGAAAAAAATTTAAAATGTCAAAAAAGAATGAAAAATAACCTGTAGAAATTCAAGTGAAAAAATGTGTCTAATTTCAGTATTAAAAATGAACCGTTGAGTTTTAAAAAAATTGGATTGCACCATTAAATTCTACACACATTGAAACCTAGGAAATAATTTTAAAATTTCACAAAAGCATAAAAAATAAGGTACATACATGCATGCAAACAATTAAATGAAAAATAAGTGGGAAAAAAAAATTAATAATCAAAATTCATTTTTATGGAAAATGGACTTTACCATTAAATTCTACACCTTTCATAGTGTAGGAATAAACTTTAAAATTTCGAAAAAACTTGAAAAAATAAGCCGTAAAAAATTAATTAAAAAACCGCGTCTAAAAGCGGAAACCGCGTGTGCTGCGGCACATCAAAACCGCGTCAAAACACGGAAAACCCGCGTTTTTTTATTAAGGCCCTTTTTTATACATTGCTTCAAATAATAAAAAAAGAAAACAAACCTAACATACTGCAAAAAGAATCTTTCTGAGTCATGATCAAAAAATCTCATATTCTGGGTTCTGTGAACAAAAACATCAAGAATAGACCAACAAAAAATAGAAAGTTACAGGTTTGTGAAAGCTCATAAAATTGTATAATAAATCAAGTTGTAACCCTTGTCAGAATTTTCTACTAAGATCTATTCTATACAGCAATTGGTGCTTTGTTTAGGATTAATCCTAGTATGTATAAGTTGTTGGAATTTCCCCAGCTTGCCTCCTCAAAATATCTCCATTCTCTATTTTCCCCTCTTTTCTTTTTTCTTTCTCAACCTCCGCTCTCTCCGCTTGCCCCACTCTCTCTGCTCTGTTCAATTCTTTCCTCACCTCTCTCACTCGTCTCTCTCTCTCCCTACTCTGTTCTCAATATTCACAACCAAATGTCTTCCTAAAACAACACCGCATCCTTGTCTCCAACGCCTCATCCTTGCCTTCTTCCTACGCCGACTCTACTCAAACACCATGGAAACAACCCTACTCAGACACACCACCAACCACAAGTCAAACTATTCCTGTCCCTCAAACACAAGTTGAACCAGTCCTCAATGGAATATAAGTATCACATCATCCTTCACTTCCTCAACCTCTTTCTCCTCAGCAGTCTCCAACAATCTAACCCTCGACACACTCCTCTCAAATCCTTAAAACTAAAAGTGCTCAACTACTTCCTTCAACTCTCTCACCAACTTCCATCAACCCTCTTCAACAATTCCCCTCATCATTCTTCTCCAGCTTTGCTTTTTCTTCTCTCTCGTTCTCTATCTTCTAATTTCCCTCTTTTCTCTAATCGTTCAATCTCATTGCCGACAACTCCACATCCAATTGACATCTATTCAACCATCTCTCATTCTCATTCCGCCGACTCTCTCTCTTGGAATATTCACTTAGCTTCTGCCAATTTGGTGAGAAAAATATATTCCAGTCTCTTTGTACTGGATCAATCAATATTAACCTTTCTTTTTATCTCTCTTGTCTCAAAACAGTGTTTACTACTTGTTCTACTTGTGGTAAATATCTATTTCTCTCTATTTTTATACTTTCTCTTGTTTTTTGTTTATTTTTCTCTTATTTATTGTTGTCTTTTGCTTTGTCAGTTCTGGTTCTAGTTTCAATCATAATTCCTGTTTTTCATCATAATTTAATACAGCTAATTTGGTAGCCAGTCTATTGATTGAAACAGATTTTGATCTTTGAAATGTGTGTTTTTTTTCATCATGAAAACAGGGGGGGTTGCAGTAGAGAATTTCACCAGTAATTTTCAAGCATTTAGCAGAAAGGTGTGCACCTTGTGGCCATAGATTTTTAACAGAATTATACCTCACCAGAGCTGAGCTATTATAAAGAACGGCCATCCTCTGCTCCAACAGAATTGTTCTGGAAATTTTGAACCATTCTTATCAAATCACATGTTGTTTTGAGGCAGAAGCAGTCCTCTTGAGTGAGCATTTATCTGGATGCTTTTGAAAGCAATGGGCTTTGGTGTGACTGATCTTTAATTCACTACAAAAAATACCAATTTTGCCCCTGGAAAAAATTACCATTTGGGTGGTGGAAAATAGAAAATTTGCCTGATGCTTTTTTTACAAAATAACTCAGGAGCAAAAATTAGGCTAAAATGAGCTATTTTAGCCAAAAAATAAAAATGCCTCAAAGGAGCTAAAAAATAATTCTGGGATGTTTGAGGCATTTTGATTTTCGGGCTAAAATAGCTCATTTTAGACTAATTTTCACTCCCTGAGTCATTTTGTAAAAAAGCCTCAGGGAAATTGATCTATTTTCCACCACTCAAATTGCCATTTTTTCCTGGAGCAAAACTGGTATT